TTACGCACTTGACACATATTTGTACGTAATTATATGTGCACACCTCATAATTGTCTATGTGCATATGCAACTCGTGCTGCAATTGCTCGTGCGCACAGACAGCTCATGCACCAATTTTCCACATGCAATTACGTACAAATGTGTTTAATTAAATCAAGTGTCTGCAAATTTTGTGTACACTTAGAATGTTTGTTAATGAATTCTACCTTGAGAAAAAATTCTTCTTCGATTTAATACATAAGAAAATAAGTTGGAAGATAATGAAGTACAAAAATCGGGGGGATAATTTTGAGAAATTATTCAAACGTCCAATCCAACATTCTGTATTTACAAGACGATGAAATTTGATGTTTTTGGATGGGCGCAGCTGCAGTAGCGAGAAAAGCAGGGGAGCCATTAGTGATAGAGGAAATCATAGTCGCCCCTCCCAAAGCGCGGGAACTTCGCGTTCGAGTCTTATGCTCCGCCCTCTGTTTCAGCGACATCCATTTCTGGAGACTCCAAGTATATGATTCAATGAATGATCAATCTCTAGATTCTCTAGTAATAATCTTTGTATTTATTTACTAACCTGACAAACACACACTCTTTTGTCTGTTTTGAAGGAACCACCTCAAGTAGACTATTATCCAAGAATTTTTGGGCATGAAACTGTTGGGTGAGTTATTGTTATCATCATCATCATCATCTCCTGCATCACCAATTGAAATGGCAGCTTTTTTAGAATGAGTTTGTATTGAATTATTTGTTTCACTCCGATTAAATATGAACTATTAAATTACTACTATATATAAGATTCTGATATGTATGCCCTAACTTCATTCTTAACTAATCCTTATTTGGTTTAATGGATGTAAGGGTTGTGGAGAGCGTTGGGGAGGGAGTGGAGGGTGTGAAGGTGGGAGACAGTGTGATTCCATCATTCTTGGCTTACTGTGGAGAATGCCCTGACTGCATTTCCATCAAAAGCAACCAATGCTCCAAACTCAGATTTGAACTCTCTCCTTACATTAGGGATGGCACCAGCCGCTTTTCCGACACCAAAGGGGAGACGATTTACCACTTTGGGTACACCTCCGGTTTCAGCGAGTACACTGTGGTTGACATCACTCACGTCACCAAAGTCGACCCTGCACTTCCACCTAGTAGAGCATGCCTCCTCGGCTGTGGCGTCTCAACTGGTAATTTATAATCCCTACATTGCGATACGAGAAAAGCGCAAAGTCTTCTATGTTGTTTTTGTTTTGTTTTAGAAGTGTGGGATACTGGGATGGCTTAATATTGTAAAGTGGAACTTCTCTTTGATTCAGGTGTGGGTGCTGTGTGGAAAACAGCAGATGTTGAAGCTGGTTCAACCGTTGCTATTTTCGGATTGGGAGTTATTGGATTATCGGTAAACACACAACTTTCCTAATTGTTTTGTTGATCCACACCTTCATTAGAGCATTTGTTATGCTTAACCTGTTCCAAAATGTAAGATATATTTTGATCCTGCATCATGTCAAAAGGGACCGAAACAGCCTCTATGTGCTTTAGTACACAGGTAAGGCTGCACATAAGTCCAGTCAAAATGGATCGAAGTAGCCTTTGCGGCATTGGATGATGATGATGACCATGTCAAAATGGAGGTAGATGTTATTTTAGATTAAAACATTTTGAAAGGAAGAAAAGGTAACATAAGTCCAACTCTCCAAGGTTAAATGACCGATAAAAGAATAGAATAGAAAAGTAAAGAAGTAGTTTAGTTCAAACTAAGAAAAGGATGAGAACTTTGAGACAGATAAAAAAAGGAAGGTAGTGGATTTAATAAAATTGAAGAGAGAATCAGAGACTAGAAAATATGTGCATCTGTATGGGATCGTCATTCTTATGTGTCTCTCAAATCATTCATATGATAATCATAAAAGTCTCGGATTCCTCTCAAAAGGTAAACCCACACTAGGGATGTCAAAAAAAACCCGACCCGCAATGACCCGCCCTGGCCTGAGACATTTGGGGCGGGTTCGCCCCGCCCCGTCTTGCAAATGGGGCGGGTCCGCCCCGCCCCTCCTATACAATGGGGCGGGTCCGGGTATTAGAATTGACCCGTGACGCCCTGCCCCGACCCGCCCCGCCCTGACTCGCTGAATATATAAGTATACATACTTTTTCTTAAATTATAGTACTACAAATATACTTCAACATACATGTGTATATACAATAAATCATAAATTCTTTGATCTTATAATATATGAATACGGAGTATATATTATAATGAGACGCACGACGGATTATCAATGTCTTCTTTATATATAGAATTTTAATACATATATTCAATTATTAATATAACTAATAAGATTAACTATTCAAGTTTGAGTAATTTTTCCTTTTTTTTTTTGAAATTTTTAGCGTATCATGAATTTGATTTAATATATTGATTTTTAATTATTATTTAGAGATAAACATTATGTAGATTCAATTGGTAACAACTTCCCACAAAAAAAAAATACATACCAGCTAATTAGGTTACGGCGGGGCGGGGCGGACCCGCCCCGCCCCGCATGGGGCGGGTCATGAGTCAACAAATTTGGACCCGTGCAGGTCACGGGGCGGAGCGGACCCGCCCCGCCAAGTCACGGGGCGGGTCCGGGTCTTGCAATACCTGCCCCGCCCCGACCCATTGCCATGCCTAACCCACACTAAGATGTCACATAGGACTTGGCTAAAAAGATCTTATCTCGACGGAGTGTACTAGTTGATTAAACAAGTGGTCTTTTTATTATTATTCATCAGGTTGCTGAGGGAGCAAGACTTCGTGGAGCCAAAACCATTATAGGCGTGGATTTGAACCCGGAGAAGGCTGAAATAGGTAAAAAGGTTGGCATCACACATTATATCAACCCAAGGGAACTTGGAGGCAAACTTGCGAGTGAGGTATGTGAGATGCATTGATGAATATATAGATAGTATGGGTGTAAGTTTGATAGTTATTCAATTACTTTTGGCATACAAGTACGCAAATGTGTGTGTTTTTCTGTTTGTACAAATTAGGTTATCCTTGAGATGACCGATGGGCTTGGTGCTGATTACTGCTTTGAATGTGTTGGTCTACCAGCGTTGTCACAAGAAGCATTCAGTTGCTGCAGAAAGGTTAATTACTAGTTCTTCTATTTAGTAATCAAAGAAAAAATGAGTTTTTATGTTAGCACTAATTATCTTTTAAAGTTGTCTACTTAATTTTTGGATCAGGGATGGGGGAAGACGGTGATATTAGGAGTGGACAAGCCCGACTCGAAGTTTATCCTCAACTCTCTAGTCAACGACCACAGTGGTAAAAGTGTCATAGGTGTCCAATATGGTGGTCTGAAGCCAAACCTCGATATTCCCCTTCTCACCAAACGTTACCTGGACAAGGTTAGTGTACTTGCTATTAAAACTTAAGACTCCACCTTAATAGCTCAACATTGAAGGAAGAGTAGTCTAAGATTTTATACATAAGTTTGTATCTGTATATTTGTAATTTTTGAGCGGTATGGACTACCTTACAGGATCAAATGTCTTATTAAATTCTTTTATATTTTAGCCAACTTCCCTCACATTTATATTTTCTTCCTAGCTAGTTCTTGATTGCCATATAATCAAATCAATGAACAAACACAAATGCATGTGTGCAGGAACTTCAGCTAGACTTGTTTGTGACACATGAGATCAAACTAGAGGACATCAACAAGGCCTTCCAGCTTCTCATTGACGGCAAGTGTCTCAGGACCGTCATTTGGTTGGATCAGGAGAGGGCAATCTCCGATGGTGTCACTTTTAATGAAATTTGATTCATGATCGAGTAGATCATCATCACAAGCACCATCCATATCCAGGATCTTTGAATTTGCTCATCAAGATTTGTGTGTTTTTGTGATTGGACCCAGGTGTTAAAATGGGTCAATAGTGTTGTGTTTGTTTGTTTGAATAAATAAGATCATTGTGTTTGGCTTCCTGCAGCTTTCATGTTTTTCGTCTCCCCAGCCAAGCTAGCCAGGTAGCTACACTCTAAGGGCTTTGCTTGGTTAGTTAGGACTTAGGAGTGTTATTATGGGGTATTCAATTAGGCACTATTGCTATCTTTATATTGTATCAAATATAACCTAAGCTTATAGGCTTAGGTTATAAATGGGTGATATCGAATAAATCTGTTCTTCCAAGTCCATAATTCCAATTAGGGGTGGACTAGACCGGATCCGGGCCCAAAAACATCATGCATGGTACCGGGTCAGGTCGGGCCTTAATTATTATTTTTTTAATTTTGTCTTTTCGAATTATATCCTTATATATATATATATATATATATATATATATATATATATATATATATATATATATATATATATATATATATATATATATATATATAAGCATTATTTGCAACCTTTTTATTTTATCATTTATATATATATATTCATCTTTTTTATATTATCTTTTCATAATAGCTTATCTTTTTATCTTTATTCCTTCTTTTCCTTTTGGTTGTGATATCATGTATCGATTCATGTTAGCCGACCCCAATATCTTTTGGGACTAAGGCTTGGATGTTGTTGTTGTCTTTTCGAATTAATTCGAACCACCCACCCCCAAACTGCCCAACACCATCCACCTAGCCACCAACCCAATAGGAAAATATTAAAAAAATTAATTGGACTCATACCGAGGCCGGTCCACCAAAATAGGAGCTCAATGTCTACCTATTTCTTCTACTGGGTCGGGTCCGAGGCCTAGTCCCGGTCCCGGTAAACCGGGCTGGGTAGCAGGCCAGGTAGGCCCATCCCAATCCGTCCCTAATTCCAAATCCAAATTCCACTCATTACTCATTAGCACCTGTTTGGACTGGACTTTCGAACATTATGCTGTTGGGCATGATCTGCGAGTCTTGTGTGTGTAAATTTTTTGTTATGCCAAAATGCCTCAAAATCAATCTAACGTAATCTAAGTATCTAACGTAATGAATTGCAAAACGGTACATTCAAACCAACTCGTAACTCGAACAACTTGATATTTAACACCAGTTAAATTATTAAGAGTTAGCACTTCCCTGTTCCCCTACAAAATGTTCACCAAAATTATGGCTGGTAATCTGGTATACAAGGAGTGAATTCACATTATGGTTGCAATCTAATGCAAATTCAAAAAAAGAAACAATCTCTTTCACACATTGAAATAAAAAGTATTACCAAAATTGTTAATAAAAAAAAAAAGCAATCCCTAATTGGGCCAGAACATTAATTGGACTCTAAAACCACCCATACAAACCAATTCACTGTTACAGTTAACTTATTGGACTCTTTGGAGGAGCTTCTCAGCCATAATCTTCTGTTGCACGGGACTCAGCGACTCAGAATTCATTATGGCATTTGCGACGAGGATAGTTATGGCAGGGGAAGATGCATCTACCTATTAATAATAAGAATAGATACACATCATTTATTAAAAGGAATCAGTGAAACAAGTAGCAGTAGGCCAGAAGGCACAAGTGACGGACACATTACCCAAACGCGGCCATTCAAACCAGTTGCTATCTCGAAAGAGAGCTTTTTACCGAGAGCTTCAAGAACTGGACATGTTGGAGTACTCAAAAGGCTAATCAAGGAAACAATTGTAAAGAAATTAGTATTATTATTAAGGAATCTTAATTATTAAAAAGCAATATGTTCAATTCATAAATTATAGGGAAAAGGGGATAGTGTATTTTTTATAATATCCAAAAATATCTCACATTCGTGATAAGCCAGTTGATGACTCAAACATGTACCCCTCTTTAAGGGGACCAAACTCTGCAGCCTTTCCACTAGCTACAGAAAATAATCTAACATAAATAAGTTTTACAGAAACTCCCACTTGTATAAATAACAGGAAGAATTCCTTGAGTGGAAAGAAAAAAGCTGAGCCTACCATCGGTGCAGGACAACTCAGGGTTCATCCCGGGATTGGCCTTGACAACACGAGCATAAATCAGAGTACCTTCCTAAAGAAAAACAACACCAACATGTTTAAACAACAGTACCTGCCAAATAGATAGATGCAGTATATGATCGTTCACATCTTATAGCTTACTACTAGTGTGGTTAAATACAGAGCAATTGATCTTTAAAATATGATCAAATTAATTACTCTTTTAAATTCAACACTTCTTTTTTGTTAGTTCATGAAAGTTGAAACTATATTTATACATGTTTTTAAATTATCTACATACTACCCTTTTTCATCCATTCCAAAGTTATGGCCCATTTCTTTTTTAGGGAAGCAGTCAAAGCACAATGTGGTTCAAAATATGTCCGTATCTTCTAAGTAATCTCAACTGTACAGTTTTCACTTTCTTGAATTGTATGCTCAGACGGCTCAGTAAATTGAGCAGTAATGTAGGGATAGAGTATTATGAACTTGATGGCTTAAAGTATAACAAGTAATATTACTCAAAATGCAATCATATCCCTAGTGGGCATGCAAGAAAAATAATTACATCAGATGAGCCCCCCCCCCCCCCAGGCATTTCACATACATCTCACATATAAAACATTGCCCACAAAAAGGAGCTGCAAAAAAAGGAGCTGCAAAACTCTTCTTGGTTTCTATAACAAGGCTAAAGAAAAACTTCGGAAAGAAGATAGGAACGAAAAAACGGGACAAAGTGGGAAATGGCCTATTCCAATATTTGCCGTTTAATTTTAGTCCACAGGAAGTCAACAAAGTGAAAATTTATAACGCATACACTGTTTTCAAAAAAGGCTGAGAAAGCTATTAACCTATAGCTTAGGGGACCAAAGGTACAATTTCCCGAAAACTAAGATCCCATCCAGGAAAGCTTTGAGCAGGTAAAAATCTAGAGCGCCATTGTGGTGCCCATTTAAGTACAAAATCACCTTATTCCATATCCATATGTAATAAAATGTATAAACAATGCATAAATTCCTATATATGATAACTAAAGCTAGGTTGGTATAATGCTTAACACTGAAACCAATTATGTCATTTTAAAAATGCGATTATGTAGGAAGAATGCACCTCAAATTTGGGAATGTTTCTTCTAGTTCCACCTTCAAATGCTAACACTGGCAAATATGCCAACATTGACCCTTTAATGTCCACAAGGAAGTTCTGTGACCAAAAGAAAATGACTAAGAACAGAGCAAAGACATGTAAAATTGAGAGTATGTAAAAAAGGTTTAAATAAGGTTCCAAACAAAAATAATAATATTCAAGTGATATAACAAAGAAAAAGCCTGCAACTCTGGAAAAAAAACTTGACTTAAATTAAGACGAAAGAAGCTCTCTAATGGGTTTTTATAGATTTGAATGGGGAACAACATTCACAAGGGGAGGATGCATTCTTAAAGACCATTAGTTAAAAAGTTTTAACAAGATCAATTATCAAACTAAGAGATCAATAGTATCTCTTAGTTAATGACAATAATTTATTAGATAAACCCCCTTATGACACTAAGAGAAGTCATTAGAACATTAGAAATTCTACTGCAGAAGTAGTAAATGATCCAGCATCGCCAGCAAAAAAATCAAGAAAGAGTATGAGGAAAGCCAATGGCAATATGCTTAATATCAAACATGATGTAGATACAATTACTCACATCAGCTTTGGAGTCGACCACAATTCCAAGGACTGAATCCCCTGCACAGGGAACATACTGCAAACCGTATTGCAATTGATCAGACAAATTGTGTAATATCTATAAGTGAAATCTATAAGTGAAATCTATAAGTGAAATACCATCTAACTGGTAATAATGACTTTAATAGAAGTGAAGGAAAAAACGAACACAGAAAACAGTGTAAAACTTTGAAGGTTTTGGTAGAAATCTGGATTGAAGAGAAGCATAACGTGTCAAATAATGTGGTATATATCGTGAATCCACGATAGTACCAAACCAATAATTATACTGAAAATGGATACACCCAATATATGACTCTCTAAACCCATTTCAGATTCATTTATACGACGCATAACCCTTAATAAAGAACCTATGGGCATAAGAGGTTTCCAGGTCTCAACCATATAAGGATTAAACCTATGAAGGATATGATTGCATAAACCTCAGTATGGTTTTCTCTGCTGACATTGATGCTGCCTAAAAATTCTGTCTTAAATGGTGATAAAATCATTACCCAGCAGTCCAGCATTTGTTGCTCTACCAATTTAAAGAAGCATACTCACTCTTTTATGGGAGCTTTCAACCCAGTATTTGTTTGGCTTTGCATATCTCAATATTCCAGCTTTCATAACAGATACAGCATCGCAGTCCTGCAAAATGAAATCGCCTAATTTTCTGCACAAATGCAACCCAGGTCTCCAATTATTATATTTCTTTACATCTTTTCCTAATTTATCAACAGTTCAATACACGTACACCACTTAACCAATCTGATATAGAATAGGCAGTAAGTTTTAAGGGAAAACACTGGCAAAATATATTATTGGGGTAAAAGTAAAACACCTCAAATATGGAAACTATTCAAAATCCAGGGAATTGATATTCCACTTATTGTTTACTGTTAAATTAAAACTAAAACTTTGAAAACATAAAAAGTTGGCTAAAAAATAATTAGAACGCTTAGTATACCTGTCTAAGGCCGCTTCCGAGCTTTATGGTTTGGTTAGTCATTGAAGAAAGATCCAAGATTACATCTCCTGGGACCTTATTAATAATTACAGTAAAAATTCTTAAGTTTCACATGTGAAGATACACATGGTGGCTAATCTTATGCATATTTAAGAAACCAAAAAGTGTAAGTGTACTATACACATACTACTGCTTGGTCAATGAAGCTTGGGATGGTGTTTGGTGGCTTCACATCCATTGTCATTTAACTTCTTTATAATAGATAATCCCTAAATTTGTATTTCGGGACTAAGTACGAAAATCAATTGTTCTTAAAAGGGTTGGACTGTTGGAGTGATTAATCCAGGATCCTGCAAAGAAAAAAAGAGAGATCATCAATAAAAATTTAAGACAAAGAGCAGAATACATTGCCATAAATTAATAAATCAGCCCCTCCATCTCTTGATGTGTCATTGCAGATAATAGTTATTGTTAAAGGTGCAGGCTTTACATAATTACATTTTCAGTTCATCTAATGGCCATGAGTATTGTTTTCTTCTAGTGAATACAACAGCAACATACAAGCCTTTTCTTCTAGTGAATATTAAAATAAGAAAAGCAGATTCAGACTGACTAGTAGTCACCATTACAAAATAGAAACAAACTTAAAGCCGGTAATATTGGACAAATGAGCGGTAGCTACCTAATTCACAAACAAAAATAAGCCAATAAAAGTAGGAAATTAACCATCATGAAGACAAAGATTTCCATCAAACTAAAGGATAACAGATTCTTTTGGGTGGATGTTTTCAGAACAGTTTAAATCAAGGTTTTAAATTGTGTATTGCGTAGTCGTGTCGTTTTATTATTATTGCCCATTGCGTAAGCCTCATTGCGCAATGAGGCGTAGACCTGAGGCAATCAAATGAATTTTTGAAGAAAACTGCGCAGTTAGACAGCGCAGTATATTTCAGAAAAGCATTTGACTGCCGTCTCGATTGAATTTTTAGCTGAACTTTGGTATGGGTAAACTAGACTTAATGAAGAAGATGTTAACAAAATTCATCATTTTCATTTTCATTTTCATTTACCCCAGTGCCGCAAAGGCTCCCACCTACGGTGGGGTAAGGGGGGTCGGATGTACGCAGCCTTACCCATGTACTAAAGCACAGAGAGACTGTTTCCGGATGACCCATAGTGAAAATCCCGTCCAAAATTGCATGGACTGACTGCTGTTTCATAACAAAGAAGCGCAGACAGTTTAGTGAGCCATTTTGCTTTATTCCATCATAATCTCAAGCCAAAAAATAATGAATCTTTGGCTTCATTGCAAATGATGGAAAAGATGTTAACAAAATTTCATCAAAAAATTCCACCGGAAACCGCCTCAAATGGCGACATCCGAACAAAGCCTCCTGTAAAAAGGGTTTATTTGCACTTTTTATGAAGGTCGGGGGCTTATTTGATAGTTCTCCCTAATTCAAATAATATGAAGTATTAACAAATTTCACATTAACAGAAAATGAAGATAATACCCAATTTATATTAAAAGTAAGATAATATGTAAAATATAATTAACTTTATATATCAATTATTCAATTATCAAAACAATTAAAGAATTTATTAACTGAAAATCTGAAATTAAGATTAAAAAAGCACTTGTGATTAAAGAATAATAAGGTAGTATCTATTAACTGAAATTGAGATTAAAGGACTAAAAGAAGCACTTGTGATTAATGAATAATATCAATGAACTGATCAAAACAATGGACAACCCGTATACTTAATATTACTAAAATTAAGATAAATGTGGAATTAACTTTCTATATCAATTATCAAAACAATTGCAGGATTTATTGACTAAAGTTAAGATTAAAAAGCACATGTGATTAAAGAATAATATCAATTATCAATTAACTGAAATTATCAAATAAAGATTGACAACCATGAATCATATACGTAGTATTACTAACAAAAAAAATTGAAGTCAAATTATAGAAGAAACACGTGTGATGAAGCAATTGAAGTATTAAGAAGCCTGGGGGAACACTGTCAACAAATAATGATGGAGAGGAATACTTTTGGGCGTTTGGCAACCACGACTGACGCATAGTTAAGCAGCAGCGAAGGGAATAAATAGCGTACACGCAGGACGAAGGGAATAAATAGCGTACAAAACAAGGCTGTCGCACTAAAAAAATGGGCCATATCGGCCCACATATTGCTTCAACTGTTAAGGCGCTCGCCTCACCTCGCCTTGAGGCGCAGTACGCATTGCGTACGCCTCTGCGCAACAATGCGTAAGATTACAGACCTCCGCCTTTAGCAATGCAATAATCCGCCTTTCTCTCTGAATTTACTGTTGCGCGCCTTATTGTGGTATTGCATTGTGCAATTTTAAACTATGGTTTAAATGAGGGGTACTAATATTTGACAAAAGAGTATCTATCTATCTATAAATAATACAGAGTAAGTTCTTGCTAACAAGTAACAACGACCCTGTCAATGTATAAAATTAATGAGTGAACCATGCTCTCCTCTCCATTAGGTAATCAACTCTTTACATATTAAGATTCTGAAAATAAATAATTCAAGAAAATACCCTTCTTGGAGATTATATGGAGTATTCTATAACTGTTAATGCTTAAATTATTGTTAACGTTTTCCGATGCAATTTGCTTTGTCAATTTCCCAACAAAACTGGATGATAAAAAAGAAGTGTCCATGCTGAGAGCTTATGTATCTATCAAATTATGTAATTTGCTTTAATTATTAGTCTTTTGTGGTTTCCCATTAAATGCAGTGCCGCAGGCCCGCAGTGGTGTTTCATAGCTCACACATCCCCAAGGTATGGTTAGTAGAAGATCTCTATAGTGTTTCAGATTGAGAATTTTGAACATAGTCTTACAAATTAGGAGTAGTAACTATAAAAAGGGGAGAACTATCAAATAAGCCCTCGAACTTTCATAAAAAGTGCAAATAAGCCCTTTTATAGGAGGCTCTGTCCGGCCGTCGCCATTTGGGGCGGTTTACGGTGGAATTTTTTGATGAACTTTTTTCAGTATCTTCTTCATTAAGTCTAGTTTATTCATACCAAATTTCAGCTAAAAACTCAATCGGGAAGGCAGTCAAATGAATTTTTGAAGATAACTGCGCAGTTAGACAGCACAATATATTTCAAAAAATCATTTGACTGCCTTCTCGGTTGAATTTTTAGCTTCAATTTGGTATGGGTAAACTAGACTTAATGAAGAAGATGCTCAAAAAATTTCATCAAAAAATTTCACCGGAAACCGCCCCAAATGGCGACAGCCGGACAAAGCCTCATGTAAAAGGGCTTATTTGCACTTTTTATGAAAGTTCGAGGGCTTATTTTATAGTTCTCCCTTATAAAAAGACATCTATGATTATGTTTCATATCTGGACAATAGAAACAATACATTATTAATATTATTTTAAGAATATTTGGTAAGATTGGAAGTTAAATTGGGGGAACTAAAGATGAGGGTGGATGTACGTTCGATCCACGGCAGCGCCCGTATCATGCATCCAGGTGGATGGACGTTCAATCCAACTCACATAATTAATACAAATCAATTTTTTCAGTGGCATTTTTGTAATTTAAGTGGAAAATCTCGGTTTCCACTAAATGGCAGTAGTGTGCTTTTAGTGAGCATCTGATCTATTTTATTGAGTATTAGGAGACTAACAATGAGTATCACGATCTCTGCTTCATATCTTCTAATTCCTTTTCTTTTTTTATTTTTTCTTTATAAAAACTTATTAAATTATACTCCGTATCTATAATTCATTCCTATTAATTTCAATATGCGAGTCTAATGTAATATGATACTTTTGAAATATGCATTAATATGACATTTTAGTTGAATATCACGACATTTTAATTGAGCATCAAACCTCCACTATTGAGATGAAAATCGTGGTTTATGATGAGTGAGCATTAATGAACTTTTATTGAGCATTAGACCTATTATGTTGAGTATTAAGAGTCTAATATTCAAAATTGTGATCTCTACTTCATAACTTCTAATTCACTCTCTTTTTGTTATTTTTTCTTTTATAAAAACTTCTTAAATTATATTTATAATCAACTCCTATTAATTTCAATATGTGAATCTAATGTAAAAAGGTACTTTTAAAAAATGCATTGATATGACATTTAGCAAATGAGCATAAGAATAGTACCAGCTGAACATATGTAACTTACAAAATGTGTATAATTCAAAAATGAAAAGCGTGTCACACTTTATTTTACTAAAGGAGTAATTAAGAGAACATATAAATTGGTATGAATCGTATGTTGAATCGATAAAAATTTGCATATAAATTTACACATTCGGAAACATAATCATTGATCGATAAAAACCTTCAAGTAATTAAAGCTTGGGTACAACCATGCACAAATTGGTATGAATCGTATGTTGAACTTGCTTACTATAATGGGGTGATTGGTTAGAGGCCTATCAGTCATTTTTTGGTTGTTTTGACCACTAAATGGCTTATTGACCAAATGAATCAGCTTACTGATGTGTTTGGTAAATCAGTATCTCATTCGGCGTTTTGTCTTGAACAGCCGAAACAAAAAACGCCACTATGGTTAGCGTTTTAGCATTGGCCGTTTCCTATGTATTTGAGTTTTCCTAAATTATCCTTGCCTATCTTAAAGGCAGATAACTCAAGTAGCAGCTAGTACCGACCTATAAATTCTCGTACTTTCTTCACTCTTATCTACCAGATTTTTTTCTCCAACGTTAACACATATATGGTGTGGTTGGTGCCCAGCCCCAATTACCTTTGTGCAAAATTATCATATGAGTAATTAACAGGAAATCAAAATCCCAATCATTGGGTCTGTTTTTTAAATGCTTGCATATTTTTTAAGATAGTTAACAAGAAAAATGTGAATTGAATTGAATAAATGATTTAAGTAATTTAATGATTCGCTTGATTAGAAAAATAATAATCATAATTTCATATGATATGTGTAAACGTGGTAAGTATTCGAAAAATAAATTGATGTCCTTAAAGATAATTTAATTAGTTTTCAGCTAATTGTAAACAGCTTTTTAACCAAACATCATTTTATGAACCGCTGACATTATCTGCTAATCAAAACAGTCAACATAATCTGTTGTTATCTATCAGTCAACATTATCAGCTAACAACCAACAGTCATTTGCCAAACACTCCCATTATCTCCATCTATATATAAAAAAATAATGATAAAATAACACTATTTGCCTTTTATCAGACACAGATAGGATCATATTTAATTTTAGTTTGGACAAAAACATAATGATTATATATACTATGTATATATGGAAGGACATAAAAACCCTTTACATAAATAGAATAACAAAATTGCAGGCGCCATTTATTCTTAAATATAGTAGTAATATGCATTTGAATAGCTTTTGAATCAAATTGATCAATATACTTATTTATATTTGGAAAATATTCGAATCTAAATTATTATCCATAATAATTTTAATATTATTTGAGTTTTCAAATTCAAATAGTTGTATGCGGATGAGAGGAAAAAAGCACGAAACAAATGCGGATTCAAATCATGAATTAAACTTAATGGGGGTGTTTGGTTAGCCGTCTATCAGCCAAATTTTGGCTGATGTGACCATTATTTAGCTTTTTGACCACATCAATCAGTTATTAGGGTGTTTAGTTAATTAGTTTTTTCATTTGGCTTTTTATCCCAAACACCCAAAAATAAAAATAAAAACTATGCCGCCGAATTTTTGTGTCCACATATACTCCATACTACAGGGTGTTTGGTTAGGAGCCTATCAGCCGTTCTTTGGCTGATTTGACTATATTTGGCTTTTTGACCAAATCAATCAGTCAAAGAAAGTGTTTGGTTAAGGGGGTGTTTGGAAGGGGCCTATCAGCCATTTTTTGGTTGTTTTGACCACTAAATGGTTATTGACCAGATGAATCGGCTAACTGATGTGTTTGGTAAATCAGTATCTCATTCGGCGTTTTGTCTTGAATGAATGAAACCAAAAACGTCAATATGGTTAGCGTTTTAGCATTGGCCGTTTCCTGTGTATTATACGAGTAATTAACAGGAAATCACAATCCCAATTATTGAGTCTGTTTTTTAAATGCTTGCAATTTTTTTAAGATAGTTAATAAGATAAATGTGAATTGAATTGAATAAATGATTTAAGAATTCTATGATTCACTTGATTAGAAAAATAATAATTATAATTTCATATGATATGTGTGAACGTGGTAAATATTCAAAAAATAAATTGATGTCCTTAAAGGTAATTTAATTAGTTTTCAGCTATTTGTAAACAGCTATTTAAACAAACACCATTTTATGAACCGCTGACATCAAGGGTCGTAGCCAAGATGGATGTTGGATGTTTACCATGGGCCGACTATGCACTAATAACATTATATAAAAATTTTAAAAGCGACAATAGTGTGAACATAATGATTAAAATTCATTAAAATTCATAGTAATATTTTTTAAACAATACATACAATGTTTTCTAACGGCCACTCACTTATCGATTTGCGTTTTCCCGGATCCCGCTCAATTTCAAGTGCATCGGAAATGACTTCCTCTTGAGCCGTTGAGCGGATGAGATATTAGGAGTTTCAATTGAGACATTTAAGTATTTAACTCTTGTCTACTTTGTGTGCTTGTACTAGGCTTATAAAACGAAGGCAATGTGATTTTTTCCTTTTTGAATGTAGACTGAGTAACCATATCTACTAAAATTACCGAACAAATAAAAAAACTAATCAATACTTTATTTTAGTTCATATATTTCATATTAATATTTTAAAGAATTCACAAATAACATTTGACATTCCTAAATCCTAATTTTCGAAGTCACTAACACAAACTAAAATAACAAACAAAATACATAAATTAAACTAAAAATTGTAAAAATAAAAAACCGAAACCCTTACCTGATTACCTCGACGGCTCGACTCCTCGAGAAGTCGAGAGAACTGGAGGCAGGTCAGCAGTCAAAGACTCAAAAGAACATAGCAGGCTAGCCGCTAGCAGCGTATCTGCGCAGGGCGAGCGGCGGACAGGGTCGGACGGAGGGGGCGTGCGCTTGGCGTTGCTATGCGCGGACGGACCGTCTGCTGCGTTCCTTTCCTTCTGCGTTCTTTTCTCTCTGCGCGGACGGAGTTCTGCGCTTCGTTTTTCGTCGCTGGCTTTGGTTGTGGCCGTTCTGCGTTCTTTTCTTTCTGCTGCGCAGCCTGCGCTGGAGTGGACTGTGGACGTTTAGCATGTACTAGGCCATACACTGGGCCAGTATGTTTTTGCACTGGGCCAGTTCTATATATTTTTTAAAAAATCATATATCTCATCAGAAGGTTCTCACTTTTCTTTTTTGAGCGTCTCATATAAAAGTACTCATTTCCATTTTAGGAAAGAATTAACAATCTTAAGTGACAAATTAATTATGAATACTAACTACATTATAATATATACCTTTTAAAATTATTTCTCAAAATATACTTGAAGTACTTTATTTAATTATTGTCTAAATAACTGTGTCGGTTTTCTACGAGAACCTTCCAACGGAACGCAGGTAGTATAATACAAAAAAGCCCTGGGCTAGGGCCCAGTCAGGCCACCCCTCCCTCTGCCCCTTGCTGACATTATCTGCTAATTAAAGCAGCCAACATGATCCGTTGTTATCTATCGGCCAACATTATTAGCCAACAACCAACAATCATTTGACAAACACCCCCTGAATAACTTTTTCAATTGGCCTTTTCTCCAAAACAACCAAAATACTAAAAGCTAATAAACCTAGCGTTTACTTATTGGTTTCTGCATGCCTTCCCTACTATCCATGTTCTTTCTGTATCTGCCTCCTACAGAAAAATCAAGAAAAAAACTTCCGCCGAAGAGCAAAGAAACAACTCTGGGAGCACAGTTTAAAATTTTCTTATCTTTCTGCACTATTCACACACCTTACTTTGACTACGATTTTCTAATAATATACTATGTATATAATAAAAATATTATTTATAAAATATTAATAAATTTGTCTTAATGTAAATTTCCAATATATTAACTTTTTTTGTGTTTACTAATACGTAAATAAATATAATTACAGTCAAAGTTGCGCGTTGGCAAACGTGAAAGTCAAACTGTTGCAACTTTTATGGAACGGGGGATAGTATAGGAAAAGAAATAGCTCATTAAAATACAATTATGCCCTTAATAAAATCATGTGTGTCCAATCTCTCCACAATTTGCTCATTTCCTATACAAAATGTCATGTGGCTTTCTAAACTAACTCACTGAACAAAATTCAGCCGTACTATTCTCACCTCTGTACTAGATTAAATTTCTTAAAACAAATGATGGCTCCCAATCAAATAAAATTCCCTAATTTTTTGAAGTACTACATCTTTTTATTTGTAATCTGATTGTCACAAAAAACATATCAAATTTCATGTTTTTTATTATCTTTCATATGGCACCAATATTGTATATATAAATATATAAATAATAATTTTACTCTTTAGCAAAACTCATGTTTTATAGTGTTATAACTTTTTCATTTGTCCAGTTTACGGTCATTTTTTTCGTACAAACTATTAATCCAGAGTGATAGCTTAGTGATGGAGTATATGAACCCTGGCCTGCCGATTATTGGGCATGGATAGAGATTCACGTACACCAGCAGAAAACATTTATATTACTGTATAGTTTATATATTCATTGTATGTAATAGATTAACTTTTTATACTATTAGTCCATTTATGTAACCGGTCTGTTGGACCCATATTAAGGGCTCAGACCCGGATTTCCCTATATATACTCCTTATAGGAGGCTTGTAAACCTAAGTCATAGAACTCATAATTCATTCACAATACACATATATCTCCTTCTCCTACATTCTTGTTCAATCTCCCAAATTATAGGATATGGGTATCGATTATCCATCACTTAGAATAAAATTTCAAAATTTCCGGTGCAAAGAATAAAATAATAAATAAAAGTGATAGAATTTGTGCAGTTTTATTATAAGTTATCGCTTCAGATTAATAGTGCTCACGGTAAAAAAGACCATAAACTGGATACATCAATAGAATTTATATTTTTTTGTTTACATACTTCCTATGTCTCTTAATTAAAACATTGTCAAGTTTGATCGGCATAGAGAACAATAAAGTAAAAAACTGTGTAATTGAAAGTTGTACGGAGGAGAGAGAAATAAAAGGAACTACAAATTAATTGATTAGAATAGAAAATAGAAAAGTTTTTGGGACAATAAAAAGAGAAAAATGACAAAGTTTTAAGAGACGGAGGAAGTATATGCAATATTAGTGTCGTATGAATGATAATAAATTATTTGCCTGCTTATCTTATTTTATACCAAAAAGTTTTGATTAATACTGTTTGAAGTACAAATGAAAAGGTTTTGGTTTTGCTTGGGTATAAGAAAATATAAACAGACTAATAATTGAACGAGCGAATTTCGTCTCTCATATATAATGCTTTTAGGTTAGCATACGCGAATTAATAATTAAACATGAGAATTTTCTCTCTCATACGCAGTATTCTTATGAATAAAGTAAGCAGACTAATAATTGAGCGTGAGAATTCTCTCTCTCTCATACATAGTACTCTTAGATACTCTGTATAAGATAAGCGGACAAATAACTGAGCGGGAGAATTTTCTCTCTCACGTGTAGTGCTTTTGGTATAAGATAAGATAAGCGGGCGAATAATTGGGCGGAAGAATTTTCTCTCTTACGTGTATGTAGTGCTTTTTTGTATAAGATAAGCGGGTTAATAATTGAGCGAAAACATTTTTTCTCTCTCATATGAAGTGCTTTTATGTATAATAATATAAGCGAATTAATAAATGAACGAGAAAATTTTCTCTCTCATATGTATTACCTTTAAGTGTGTGTGTAGTAAGCGGACTAATAATTGAACGGGAGAATTCTTTTTCTCATATTTAGTATTTTTAGATATAAGATAATCGGACTAATAATTGAACGGAGAAATTTTCTCTCTCATCTGTAGTGCTTTTTGGTATAAGATAAGCAAACTAATAATTGACCTGGATATTTTATGTCTCATATGCAGTGCTTTTATGTATAAGAAGATAAACGGATTAATAATAGTTGAGTGGAAAATCTTCTCTCTCATATGTAGTGTTTTTAGGTATAAGATAAGATAAGCGGATTAATAATTGAGGTGGAAATTTCACTGTCATATGTAGTGCTTTTAAATATAAGGTTAGCAGACTAATAATTGAGAGAGAAAATTTTCTTTTTTACTTGTGGTGTTTTTAGGTATAAGATAAGCAAATAATAACTGATCGGGAGAATTTCATCTCTCATATTTTCTATCTCAAGACATTTTAAGCTTCTGTGAGATATTTTCTATAATTGTCACATATGTGATGACAAACAATAAATTTCTAGCTCTATCACTGGAAAAAGAAGAAAATTTTCTACCTAGACATATTTTAGACATGTAAAACTTTATATGTATGGCGTTATCGAGGGAGAAAATATGGATTGATGATTTTAATTATTGCAACACTTTGACTTTCACATTTGCCAACGCACAACTTTGACTGTAATTATATTTAATTATGTATTATTAAACATTATAAAAAGTTGATATTTTGGAAATTCGCATTGGTAGGAATTCAATAACATTTTATACGAAATAATTTGATTATGTATATTAGTAGGAAATTGTGGTCAATGTAAGGTGTGTGAATAGTGCAAAAGCCACAATGTTGCAAGAATTAAAGAACGGATGAAGTACATTATAAGAAGATAAAAGCATTAGATGCTAAAAGTTCTCTTTAAAGCACTTTTTCAAAACTCTAACAGTTAAGTTCAATATTTTATTATTTGTTGCCAACAATGCTAATTATTACGTATCAAATTCTAATGGATAGTGTTGATTTTTTTACTTTAAATTTTTTACTTTGAATATTTGTGGTATGGATTTATACTTTTTGATATTGACTTATTGTAGTCTATTTTTTAAATGATATAGAATTCTAAAAAACATTGTTATATTTAATTAGGTCATGAATATAAATAATTAAATATATAAGGACCAACTGTTTTTTCCCGTGCGTATGCACGGGTGGTGTGCTAGTTTAATTAAAACTTGAGGTGTGGTGATGTAACAATTAAAGTGGCAATCTCTTACACCCAAATTATTTTGGAAATGAAACAGCCAAAAGATGAATAGCTTGACCATTTTACTGAGTCATAGTTCCAACTCTGCTAATACATACGAAGTATATTTTTATTTTGATGATTACGAAGTATATATTACGTAGTAATAAAAAACAATGTTTGAAATATTTATTACTCATTTTAGTAAAGTTTACATTTTTAAATCATACTCACGTAAAAAGGATTTTAGTATACAATAATAAAAAATTATTTGATGTCCTTAAATGTCATTTAAGGAGTTATCAGCTGATTGTAAATGATCATTTAACCAAACATCATTTTATAAACTGCTAATAGTATCAACTTATCAAAACAGTCAACAGATTTTGTCATCATTAATCAGCTAAAAGAATCAGCCAATCACCAATAACCAACAACCGATTACCAAACACCCCTATGTACATTTGGAGAAGGCTTTCATTAAGGTTCGTGGAAATCCTTGTCGGAGTGGACAAGCTTTTATAACTAACTAGATTTTCACCCGCGCGATGCGCGGTACATAAATTAAATAATAATATTAAGCAATAATAGTTAATGTCTAAATTACATGACAGAGTATATATGTAATACACAAAAACAATTGTTATTAAGATAAAAATATATACAACTCGTAATTGGTACGAATATTGTTTTGGGAGAGAAAGGAATAGAAACATTATAATAGGAAATCCATACTCTACATGTTTCTAAATACATCTTTGTAGACAACATTGGTAGTACAGTCTAGTTTTTCTCCATTTTCACCGCATATGAGTATCTTCAAACCCTTGCGATTTGTCACTCTCGATGCTGCAACATATAGTTGACCATGTGTAAAGACAGGTGTTTTCAATATAAGGCCAACATGCGTCAACGATTGACCTTGACTTTTATTTATTGTCATCGCATAAGAGGTCATCACAGGAAATTGTCTTCTTTGAAACTTGAAGGGTATTCTTAAATCTGATGGAGTCAAACTTAACCTTGGAATGACAACTTCAAGTCCTGCTTATTTCCCCCCTAGAAATTTTGCTCCAAGAATGTGATTCCCAAGCCGTGTAATAATCAACCTTGTTCCATTACAAAGGCCCATAG